TGGGATGCTCTGGCACCTCTTCCTCAATGACGTGGAGGCCAGGCATTGATCTCTGCTCCCCTGGGGCTCAGGGCTTGGTTGGTGTTTGCCCTTGGTGGGGAAGGAGTGGAGCAGCCTGTGCTGCCTGCAGGAAGGCAGCCCTGGGGGGCTCTGGGGCAGAAGGGGCAGAGTGTGAGCAGCCCCAGGGAGCAGAGGGTGCAGGGCAAGACACCCACGGCAGGGCTGGCCCCGCTGTGTCCCCCCAGGCTGCAGCAGCCCCACCAAGCCATCGCAGGCCAGCGTCCCCGAGGGCGTCCCGCACTACGCCGAGGCCGACATTGTGAACCTGCAGGGTGTGACGGGCGGCAACACCTACTCAGTGCCGGCCCTCACCATGGACCTGCTCGCTGGCAAGGATGTGGCTGTCGAGGAGTTCCCCAGGAAGCTGCTGACCTTCAAGGAGAAGCTGGGGGAAGGCCAGTTTGGGGAGGTGAGCGGGAACTGGGCCTGCTCCGAGCAGGACTCAGGCAAAGCTCTTCCCAGCTCGCAGGGGCTGTGGAGGCTGTCAGTCAGCTGCCCCTTGCTCCGCCAGGTTCACCTCTGTGAAGTGGAGGGGATGGAGAAGTTCACGGGGAAGGACTTTGCCCTGGAGGGCCTGGATGGCAGCTCTGACCGCCCCATGCTGGTGGCTGTGAAGATGCTGCGAGCAGATGCCAACAAGAATGCCAGGTAGGGGCTGAGGGGGGCACACACCCCAGCACTGTCCACGTGCAGAGCCTCACCAAGAGAGCTGGGATGCTTGGAAAGCATTCCATGTCTCCATCAGCCGTATGCTCAGTGCAGCTGCAAGGACCACACACCTGAGCTCTCTGGGAATGCTGGGCTCTCACACGTCAGGATCCTTAGTCCTCACCAGCTCCCCAGTGCCTACCTACCTGCTGAGCCCACCCTGCAGCTCATCTTCTCTAGTCCCAGGGGAAGGGGCCCACAGGTCCTCGGGAGGCTTGGGTGGGCGGGTGGCACTCTTGGCCAGTCTGTGCTCACCTCTGTGGCCCTCTGGGTCTGTCTATCCCACCTGTGTGGTTTCTGTTCCGGAAAGGAATGATTTTCTGAAGGAAATCAAGATCATGTCACGGCTGAAGGACCCCAACATCATCCGGCTGCTGGCGGTGTGCATCACAGATGACCCCCTGTGCATGATCACCGAGTACATGGAGAACGGGGACCTCAACCAGTTCCTGTCCCGCCAGCAGGCAGGCGGCCCTGCACCCACCGTCAGGTAGGGCTGCCTGGGAGAGCAGGGGCAGGCAGTGCTGCTTGCTCCTGGGACACCCTGCCTGGAGCACCTTCTGGCTGTTGTCCTTCCTGCCTTGTGCTCATTCGTCCCGTGTGCCCCCGACAGTGACCTGCGGTTCATGGCCACCCAGATCGCCTCGGGCATGAAGTACCTCTCGTCCCTCAACTTCGTGCACCGGGACCTGGCCACGCGCAACTGCCTGGTGGGGAAGCACTACACCATCAAGATTGCCGACTTTGGGATGAGCAGGAACCTCTACAGTGGGGACTACTACCGCATCCAGGGCCGGGCGGTGCTCCCCATCCGCTGGATGTCCTGGGAGAGCATCCTGCTGGTACACGGGGCTGGGGCTCCTCTGGCGGACACTGACATGGCTCTGGGGATGCTCACTGCCATGCTTCCTTGGGCTGGGGGGTGCAGGAGGGATGGCAAGGTCTCTGTTCACTGCAGCCCAGATTTGGGATGAAGCATGGGGACAACGGGAGTGGTGGCAGCTTTTTGAGGCAGGCTGGGAGGGGACTGTGGTGATTTTTGATGTGCCAGTGCAGGACATCCTTTAAACGGGATGCTTGGCATTTTATCCTGGCCGTGGTCAGGCCTGGAAGAGGGAGCAATGTTGGTCTTTACCTTTGCCAGGAGCTGGGTCCTTGGCAAGTCCAGAGCAGTCACTGCCAGGCAGACCTGTTGCTCACCAGGCTCTGGCCTCAGGCAGAAAGCAGGTCTGTGGGGCCAAGCACCTCTCTGTGACCAGACCTGGATGCTGAAGCATCCAGAATGAGGTTTTGATCCCCGAGCACCTGGAACTTCTGGGCAAAGCCCATGCCTGACCCTGCTCTGCTCCCTCTGGCCAGGGCAAGTTCACAACGGCCAGTGACGTGTGGGCGTTCGGAGTGACGCTGTGGGAGACCTTCACGCTGTGCCGGGAGCAGCCCTACTCCCACATGTCTGACGAGCAGGTCATCGAGAACACCGGCGAGTTCTTCCGCGACCAGGGCCGCCAGGTAGGGACGGGATGGACTGGACAAGAGGACCAGGGGTGCACCTAGGCCATCAGGGGCCTGGGGAGGGACTTTAAGGTGACCAGATAGGGAGCTTGGCTGTGAGGCAGCTATGGGACAGGCACTCCTCCGGGAAGGAGTCCTGGTGAAGGGCCCATCGTGGCAAACGCTGCACTTTACACAGCCCAAGGCACTGCTTGCTCACTGACCCCACTGCAGCTTTTAGGGTCTGGCAGAGAGGCAGGTGTCCCCAGCTGCCTCACTGTGCCACTGGGTCATCTTGCCCCTGGGCACACGGCAGCACAGCCCCCACCTCGGGCCATGGAGAGCTGGGGCACCCTGAGATACGGGGCTCTCCAGGAGCAGTTTGCACATTGGTTTCTGTGGCAGTAATTCTCTCTTTGCTTTTCTGCTATTTGTTTTGCAGACCTACCTTCCCCAGCCCATGCTATGCCCTGACTCAGTCTATAAGCTAATGCTCAGCTGCTGGAGACGGGACACTAAAGATCGTCCCTCCTTCCAGGACATCCATCGTCTTCTCCAGGACTCAGCCAGTGAGGAATGACCCTCGGCTCCCGCCTGTGCTGGTCCCATCCTTCCCTGTGCCCAGAGGAGCCCCAGATGCAAACCAAAGCCACTTCACTCGGACTTAGCCATAAACCCGGAGCGGCTGCTCGTGTTCTCATTGTGCAGTGAGGCCTCACAGGAGGCCCCCAAGGACAGCAAAGCCCCACGGTGTGGGACAGCTCAGACCTCCCTCTTCCCCGCAGGCCTGAGCCCGGCAGCGGCTGGGGGAGGGTTATTTATTGGTGCAGCCTGTTCCTGGTGACAGGGACTGGGACAGAGCGGCTTCTCTTGCCCGGCTGAAGGGGACAAACTTCAGCTGGACTTTCTCCATGAGGAAGCTCAGCCCACACGCAGGGCAGGTGCCTGGGGAAGGGATGTGTGCAGGTGTGTGCCTGCTGGAGCAGGGACAGACCAGCAGCCACCACCTGCTTCAGGAGGAGTTGGGAGCAGCCTGCGGCTGTGCGATCGCGGGGTGAAAACAAAGACTCCGCGGGCATTCGGGGCTTTGGACATGCCACATGGAGAGGCAGGAGGCACCCTCCCTGCTGGCCAGCCCCAGCTGCACAGGGAGAAGACTGGGGGCGCTCCCGGCACCTCACCCAGCTGCTGGAGTGTGCAGCCAGGGAGAAGCAGGCATCCCGGACCGAGGGGACATTCTCTCACTGACCACAGCCACTCCAGGGCAGCTCAGCTGCCCAACAAACGCATTTTGGATGCCCCACGGGTGATGCATGGCAGCTGGCAGCAGGATGCTAGTACCTTTTAGTTCCATGGGGAAATCTCCAGGTCCTCCTCCCCCAGAGTTAACCCACGTCTTCATCTGCCAGGAGAAGAATGTGTATAGCAGAGTTTCATTGGCAGCCTGCGGCAACAACCCCGCAGGCATGGAGCAGGGCGCTCCAGCTCTCCCTGGCTCTCAGCCTGGGATCACAGTCCAGCTGAAGCCCCTGAGCTGGGCTCTGCCACCCTGAGCATCCCACAGCATTCTGGCCCCAGTCCATGCTCCCGAAGCTGCCAGCATTCTGAGCAAACTGGGCAGGTGCCAAAGCCACGGGCCCTGGCAGGTGACCCACCAGGCCCCAAACTCGGACCCTCCTGCGGCTGGGCAGGAGGAACTGTGGACTTGGGGGGTCCATGGTGCCCTCCGCAGTCTCGTACGCACTAGCTCAGCCCCAGCAGGCGCGCGTGGCACGGTTCCCGGTACCCCGTGGCTAAGGCATGTGTATATTCAGTAGATGCACCTATGTGTAGGGGCCAACCCGCTGAAGAGACACTCGGTATGTGATCTGGCTGCATGGTTTCCTTGTGGCGCTTCTGCAGGCAGCTCAGCTCGCCTCCCCCGAGGGCACCCCGGGGCTGGGGGGCTCTGGAGCTGCATCGTGTGCCTGGGATGTGGGGTGGAACACAGGTAACCGCCCGAGACTTGGAGCCAGGGTGATGGAGGGAGCAGCTGGCTGACCCACACTAGCTGTGTGTCCCAGCGGGTGGGAGGGAGGATGCTCTGAGGCTCAGCAGCCATGTGCAGCAGCAGGGCCGGGGCAGGGCGGTGTGCCTGGGCGAGGGGAGGGCAGGGATGGTGGCTGTGCCCCGCAGAGACTGACAGGTCTCCCGCGTGCTCCTCCTGCCTGCGACACATCATGGATGCCTCATCCCTGCTGAGCGTGTCGAGAAGAGGACGGGCCTTGTTCGTGTCCTGGAATTGGTGTCTCTCTGCCTGTCCCGCTCCGTGCTCAGGGTGCGTTGTGGCCCATCCCAGCCGTGCCTCAGCGGGCTGGGGCAGGTGGGGCGCATCTGCAGCTCCCGGGGCCCGGCCACTCTGCACCATCGGCATGGCCCCGCATTCAGTAACAGGCTGGGGGGTCTGGGGGGCAGCTGTGGGGTCCGCCGTGTCCATGCCCTGCTCCGGCCGGGACCCCGCCGGCAGCGGGGCGTGTCCCCAGGGGGGGCGTGTCCCCAGGGGGGGCGTGTCCCCAGGGGCGGGGCGTGTCCCCAGGGGGGCGTGGTCACGGAGCGCGCCCCGCTGGCCCCGCCCCCCGCGCTCTGCTCATCATCACGCCACCGGCGGCGCGGGCCCCACCTCCCTGCCGCCCGCCGATTGGTTGCGGGGCCGGGCGGGGCGGGGCCGGGCGCGCGCAGAGCTTATAGGGCGGGGGCGGCGGGCGCGGGGCAGCGATGGAGCGCGTGGTGCTGGTGACCGGTGCGAGCGGGTGAGTGGCGCTGAGGGCCGGGAGGGGCGGGCTGGCCTCGGCTCCGCTCGGGTTGGGCTGGGTCCGGTTCGGCTCTCTCTGACACCGTCCCGTTGCAGCGGTGTGGGGCTGGCGCTGTGCAAGCGGCTGCTGGATGAGGATGGCCGCATTCACCTCTGCATCGCCTGCCGCAACGAGCAGAAGAGCGAAGCCACGCGGGACCTCATCCTGGCCACCCACCCCTCTGCCCAGGTGTCCACCGTGGAGATGGACCTGGGAAACCTGGCCTCCGTCCTGCGGGCCGCCCGTGAGCTCCGCTGCAGGTACGGGATCTGTCCCCATGGGACACCCCCGCCCGCGCTGCGCCCCGCCGGGCACCCCTGACCCCTCCGACCCGGCTCCCGTGCTCTCTCCACGCAGGTTTCAGCGCCTGGACTTTGTCTACCTCAACGCTGGGATCATGCCCAACCCGCACGTGAACTTCAAGGCTCTCTGGCACGGGCTCCTCACCGGGTAGGAGTGTTGCTCCAGCCCCCGCCTGTGGGCAGCACGGGGCGCTGGCACCGCCAGGCCGTGCCCTGGGTGCCGTGCTGAGGAGCCCGCCTCCCTCCGGTGCGAGACAGAGCACGGCCCTGGGGATGCCCTCCCTTGTGGGGTGGGTTTGCCGGCTGAGTGCCGTGCTGCGGTGGCCCAAGGCACCCAGAGCCACCTCTGCTGCCAGGCGTGAGCCCCGCTGGGCGCAGGGCAGGGCAGGAGGTCACCCAGAGCCTGCAGCCCCTGCCGCTGCCTGAGAAATGCTGCTGTGCTGAACTCTGGGTCTCCTCGCTGTTGTTGTGATGCCAGGGTAGGTTTCTGCAGCTGTTCAAAGCTGTGGATCACAGCAGTTTGTGAGGGCCATGGTTGGTGTGAGCGTCGCTGCTCTGTAGGCAGCACAGTGACCTGTGTGAGTCTGACAGAACTGCTGGGCTCTTGAGCTCTCTGCCAGACTGCTTTCCTTGCCTGCATTAGGCATGGCCCGAGGCCTTGGCTGGATGCTGAAGCTTGACTAAGTTATCTGAGAGTGAAATGAGGGAAGGAGGTGTTTTTAACAGTACTTTACCATGGGAAGGTGAAGGAAGGGACAAGACTTCTCTGGTCTAGTGACTATTGAGGCACTTGCAAATAAAGGGCCTGTGATACTCTCTAGACGTTTCCCATCTATTTTGTTAATGGTTTGATGTTGCTCTTGATAGCAAAGCTGTGTGTAGCCTGTGAGGTGAGGGTACTGCTGAAGGGCTCAAGTGGGGAAGTGGTGGATTCCCCCTGGCAGTGTTCCTCACTAACTCCTGTTCTTGGCTTCCAGGAAGCTGCTCCACATGCTGACCACTGCAGAAGGCGTCATGACCCAGACGGACAGGCTGAATGGAGATGGGCTTCAGGAGGTGTTTGCTACCAACCTCTTTGGGCACTTTATGCTGGTGAGGCTTCGCACGAAGATTGAACCCTCAGTCTGATGTTTGATGTGGGTAGGGATGGGTCTGGGCAGTACAGATCTCACAGGTTCAGATGCTGATGGAGGCTGCAGCCTGACAGATAAAGAATGACAGGACAAAGGCTTGACATTTGTTTAAATGAGCAATAAATGGTGACTTTTGTTGTAAGAGTTAATATAATTTTGAGGTTACTCTAGTGAGCCAGCAGACAGAAGTCAATCATATGTAGCTCTCCATCCAGGATAAATGCTAAGGCTTGGCTGTATTAAATTCTGAGGTGCTCAACTGAGCTGTCCAGCCCAATGACAGCTGCTCATACAAGTGTCTGCTCTTGGCTAGTCTAGGAAAAGCTGTCTGGGAAAGCTGAGAGAAGCTCACAGCCTTAGGTGCTGTAAAGTGATACCCTAAGCCTGGGAAACTGCTGTGTTAAATAAGTTAAGGATTCTTTTTCCAGGTTCGTCAGCTTCAGTCTCTGCTCTGCAGCAACGAGAAGCCCTCGCGACTCATCTGGACCTCCTCCAGCAATGCCAGGGAGTCTGCCTTCAGCCTCTCTGACTATCAGCATGCCAAGGGGCAGGAATCATACAGTTCCTCCAAATATGCTACTGACCTGACCAGTGTGGTTCTGAACAGGAAACTTAATGACCAGGTGATGATGGGGTTTGTGTTGCTGCAGAAATCTAATGAGTTGCTGCTGTTTGTAATTATCATGACGTTGTTGTTACCTAGTTGCATTCATTCACTCATAGCAATCTGATGCATTCCTTAGTGCACAGGTAAGAACTAAACATGGCTGAGGTTGAGCTGGTGGTGTGGGGGGTAGGGAATCTGCCAGAGAGATTGCCAGATTCTGGAGTTCTTGCCAGAAGGACTTCCCAAAGTGGGAGATTTCGGGAGCAGTTCTTACCTTGCAAGCTCTACTCGTTAGATCAGAATTGATGTTAGAGAGCAAAGAGCCTCTGCTTTTTTCAGGTGTCCCTGCCCATCAGCACAGGGCTGCTCTGGCAGTGCTGCCTGGAGCTGCAGGCTCTGCTGATGGCTCTGTGCTGCTGCTCAGGTCAGCCAGGGAGCTGTACAAGCCACTGCCTTCCCTGTCCTGGGGCAGTGATGGGTTGTGCTGGCAGCTGCAGCTCTGCTCCAGCAGTGGTGCTTTTGCCACTCTCAAACACTTCTGGAGAAAATGGTAAGAGGTAGTCTTTAGTCTGACTGGGCTGTAATTTTTGGGATATCTGCTGAGCTGCATGGAGATTGCACCAGGAGGCTGCATTTTCTACCCTGGGGGTTTGTAATGGGCATGGATCAAACACAAACCTTTGGACCTCTTAAAAACCACCGCATCTAATTGCTCTCTGCTCTGGTGCTTAGTGGAGTAACAAAGTCTGATGTCTGTACACACCCTCTCTGGCTGAGGAGCACTGGGAGGGAAGCAGCATGACCCATTCTTTGAAGTGTGGTGTAATTGCACACTGACTTTGTTTCTTCTCTGCAGGGTCTGTATTCCAGTGTTGTTTGTCCTGGGCTCGTTATGTCCAACATGACATACAGAATTTTGCCTATTTTTCTGTGGAAGCTGCTGATGCCCATCATGTGGTTGGTGAGTGGATGTCCTGGCTGGTTTTGGGCTGTGACACACTTCACTGCAAGTGATGTACAGCACACTTTGGCTCCCTGCTGCCCGTGTTGGTGTAGATTTCTTCCTTCTGTTGGGCTGGGCAGGCTGGACCCTGTGTAAGCCTTGCCCTTCTCATCTTGGGGCCCAGTTTCCAAGCTGAGTTTGGAGGTTTGGTGCTAAACACTGGCAGAGGAGCAGGGGTCAGCCCTTCAGCTACAGCAGTGTTTGTCAAAGCTCCCCTTGGAAGCTTTGCCAGTTCTGCTTGGGATTGTGAAACACCATCAGCTTGCTGGCAGCAGAGCTCGGGATGTGGCCCCAGCTTGGCCCCTGTGCTTTGAGATGCTGTTCATTTCTAGAACAACCTGCTTTCCAGTGGTGTTCTTTCCATTCCTCTAGAAGGCAGTGTTGTTTTTTTCTTTCCAACCCTATGGAAAGCAAAGCTTCCTGCTCTCTGTTGCCTCCCCATCTGCTTCCTCAGAAGTTTCCTTGCCTTTCTTCCTCTGGCCTTCAGCTTTCCAGGTTTGCTGCAGTTCTGTCCCTGAAGGCTGCCTATGAGCCGTGATGCTCTTGCTGCAAGAGTGGCCTTTCATCTTAACCTGCCCCAGTTGCAGCAGCTGATCCTGATGGATCACGTTTCTCCTGGCAGCAGAGAGGCAGTGCCTTCTCAGTTGTCCCCAAGGCTGGCACTCCTGCAGATCCCCTCTGCCATTCCTGCCCTTGAGACCCTTCCAGAGGAGGCACCTGCAAGGTGTGTGTGGGCTGTTGCTCCTGCCTTGGGTGATCTCTGTGTGGGACCATGGAGTGACACTTGCTGGGGGGCTCCAGAAAGCAGTTTGTGTGATAAGGGATGCTTTAGTCAGTGTGCAGTGTTACCTGTTGCCCAGTTTGAGAAGCACTTGTACCTCTGGTAGATTATCTGGAGTGTTTGGGCTGCTCAGGGCTTGCCAACAAACCTTGGGCCATGGTACAAACTCTGCCATGTCCTTCTTTTCCCCTCAGATCCGATTTTTTGCCAAAACTTATACTCTGACGCCCTATAATGGAGCAGAAGCTCATGTAAGTAGTTCACAATTTGATTTTAGCATTGCTTCCTTCTGAGTAGCTCTTCTGGGGTCTTGTGGCTTGAGCAAAGAGCCTCTCAGCGAGGCTGGTGGGTGGGAGCTGTGTGTGACCCCCAGCTGGCACACAGCAGTGAGTGTGGGAGCCAGCTGTCCCCGGGGCTGCTCAGCCATGTGGAGCTCTGTGACCTTCACCCAGTACCCATAAAATAAATGGTTTTGGGAAAGCATCCTGGCCAGGGAGAATGATGTGCAGCACAGGGGGTGGAGGTGGCTGATGGGGGGCACAACGTGTCTCAAACACAGTGGGAGCAAGTGCAGCCATGCTGAGCTGCTGTAGCAGAAACCTCCATTACTCTTGGCTGAGGTAGGTCACAACTGAAGGGAGCCAGCTCAGAACTTGACAGATCACATCTTCCCCTGCTTGGTGGGAGCTCCTGTGGTGTCTTCTCCCGTGTCTGCTGGCAGTCGGGTCTTTGCCCACAGGCGTGGCTGGGACAGTGTGTGCTGGACTTGTACATCTTTGTGGTGTTCTTCCAGGTGTGGCTGTTCAAACAGAAGCCAGAGTACCTGGATGCTCTTGTCAAATACCACAGCTGTACTTCTGGACTGGGGAGATGCTACGTGGAGCCTCGAAAGGTCAGTGGAGAAGGAGCTTCCTGCTGCCTCTGCCATCTGCTTTGTATGGGAGGGCTGGTGCCAAGGGTGTCCTGTGCCTGGAGTGGAAGGAAGATGCTTGTTGAGTGCTAAGTAGCAGGAGGGGATGTGGGGTTACCTGCAGTGCTTCCTAGAGTAACTCCAGCCTTAGGCTGGAGTCTGGAAGACAGTGGAAGTGATGATCAGAACGGGTTAAGTGTGGGATGATACTTTCCCAAAATGTGTTCTGGCTTATGTCCGGGTGACAGAGCATGTCTGGGAAGGTGGAAGCTCTGGAAATGCACCCTGCTTATCCCCAGAGCTGCCCTCGGTGTCTGCACTGGCTGCCACCAAGGGATGGTCTCACAGTGCTCTTTCCTTGCCTTCCAGATGGATGTGGATGAAGACACTGCTGAGAAACTTTACCAGAAGCTGTTGGAACTGGAGGAGCAGAGTCTAGAGAAATACCATGATCTCTTAGATTAAGCAAAGCTAGTCTCAGTGGGGTGAGAGTCTTGTATCAGTAACCTGGGGTTTCTTCATTCTGGTGCTACCTGTGTTGCCAGCTGTTCTGCAGGCACATGGCTTCAGACACAATCTTCCTTCTCGACAGAAGGTGAACAGTTCCTGAAAATGGAAGTGTGAAAACTGAAGAGAAATACTTAGACCTTTGGCTATGGGATTTTTCTTTTGGCATAAAACTGGAGACCTCGAATAGGCAGAGTCTGTCCTAACACAGTTGCAAAGTGGTGTCTTGCAGAAGCATGACTGAGCTGTGTGTGGTTCAGGAGCAGCCTCAGAACCTGTGGTTTCCATCTGGCTCAGGGCAGTAAAGGCAGCAGTCTGGGGTGCTGCCCTGCATCTTGGCTCTGCTGGTGTTTGTGGATGGCTCAGACACATCACCTGTGGCTCCTCCTGATGTGCCTGAAGGCTCACCTTCAGCAGAGCTGCCTTACACTTGTTCACCAAAGCTGGGGCTGCCTCTGCAGACCTGCTCAGCGAGATTGAACCTTACTGGCAGGCAGGGTCTGCCCAGCAGCTGAAACCAAGCTGCTGAAGAGCTGGCCTGAGAAGCACACACCTGCCTCAACTGTGAGGACAGATGCCTTGCTGTCCCCTGGGTATGGGCACTTGAGGGTTTTAACCATGACTGGCTTGAAAGGGTGATGTTAACCTGGACTCAGGGCCAGTCTGCTCTGTTTAGAGCAAGAGTGAGAGGTTACCATGTTGTTTTATCTATTTAACTCTTTTTATATAAATCTATTGTACCAACCATTCTTCCTGTTGTTTATCTGGAGACTTTGAGCAAGTATCTGCCACCAAGTAACTTCAAGTGCTGTAATGAATAAACAACTGAAATTGAGTTGTCCTTAATGCAGTGGTGTTTTTACTCCAATATCCATCTACTTTTGACTTGGAGGCTTGGCAGGAAACTTAATTGGTGCCTTGTGCTGTAAATCCGTGCATACCTGGGAAGTGTGGAGCCTCTCTGCCATGGAAGAGCTGTCAACCACCTTTTTGGCTTGCTTCTTCAGCTAAGGAAAGACATGAGTGATTTCTAAAGACTTCAGTGTGGTTTTGTGTGCTGAGCGCCTGTGGGAAGCCTGAGACTATTTCCCAGCCTTAGGCTCTTGGGAGATGTCTTGGTGCTTGCTCACCCGCTGTGTCACATAATGACTCTTAATGCTTAATGCACTAATTAATGGTTTAATGCACCTCCCTGGGGCTGCCTGGGGTCGGGTGCTGTTGGAGTGGGAGTGCTGCCTGCCCTGGCTGCTGCCTCCTGCCAGGGTGCCACAGAGAGGGGCTCTGCTAGGAAACCTGCTCAGAGCTGGCAGCCAGGAGAATGCAGGCTCCTCATGGCCTTGCCTTGCAGGGATGCGCATTCAAAGGGTCTTGCTTTCATTTTTTAATTTCTTCCCATCCTCCGCTGGTTTGGAGCAGAGCAGAGGGGTGCTGGCAGCAGAGGTGTCTCAGTGTTGAGTTTGGGCTGAGGGGACCCTCCCAGCTCAGCCCTGAGTGAGGCCTGAGCCCAGCAGCACTGGTGTGGGCAGCAGTGTACTGGGTTTGGCCAGGCAGTAGAGCAGAATGAGGAGCTGGCCATTGTGGGGTGCTGCTTCCCTCAGCTGTGGCTGGAGCTGTGAAACAGACTGGGCTGTGCTTATGTGGGTGTTTATTTAATGCAATAAAGCCAGTCCCAGCACCAGACCTGCATTCTGTGGCTTTGTTCAGCTGTGTCCCAAAACACCCTGGGACCAAAGCCCTCTGTTTCTGGTGGAGTGCCTTCCCTGCTCCACAGGGAGAGTCAGTGGCTGGTTCTCCTCCCCACAGCATCCTGCAGCAGTCCTTGGCTCCCTGTTCTGCAGGAGTTGAAGCACATTGCTCTGGCTGGTTTTAGATGAGTACCTTGAGTTTGCTGTGCTTCTGCCCTGGGCTGTAGCAGGTAACACTCACCAGCTCCACCTTTAGTGTTCCCCCCACCCCAATGCAGAGGCACTCAGTCATTTGTTATCCCTGCCTCATTTTCTCTCTGGGCCGAGACAAATAGCAAATGTTACTCAAAACAGTTTGACACAATTGAACTGAGTGCAACTTAGTGGGGAGTGGGAGGGTCAGGGCTCTTATGCCAAGCTGATCACTTTTACTGCCCTGTGCCAGCTGGCACTGCAGCTCTGCCAGGCTTAGGGTTTGAGTGCAGTGAGGTCTGGAGAGCCTAGAAGAGGTAGCTTTGCACAATCTAGCATACTTAGGAGAATAAATGTCTTCTGATTTATGGGTTTGCTGGTTCTGTTGGGATTTTTTTTTCTTAAAGCTTGGAAAAAAGGGGAAAATTTCTTGGATGGGCAGAGGTTGATGACAAGAGCTAGGACCTTTTAGGTCCTTTTACCTCAAGTGTGCCTGTAGGATGAAGTTAGACATTTAACAGGAAAAGCGGGGATGGGATGGAACAAGTGCTTTTTGCGTATGGAGACCTGAGCTCAGCTTCTGTTCAGAGTGACACAAAGGGGGAACAAAAGGTGCTGAGCCCCAGAGAGTGGAATGGCCTGGAAAGATGGGATACACTTGTCATTTCCCACAAGCTTTGAGCTGCATGGAGCTGGAGAGGCACAGCCAGCCCAGGGGTCTTGCAGAGGAGTCTCTTCAGTGGCAGGAGGTGCTCCCTGGTCTGCAGCCTTGTCACAGGTCCCTGCTTCTCTACAGGGGCTCCTGCCTGCTTTTGTGACCCCAGGCATCATTGTCCCTGCCTTTCTGTGGAAAAAGACTTGGCTGTGCTCAAGATCACTTTGTGCCCCTCTCCTCCACGTGGTGAGAAGCTGGACGTCTTTGCAGCCAAAGGATGGGACTGTTTTGTGGGCTGGGAACCTCCCACATTTTTTTTCTTTTGTCCTGAAAGCACAGGTAGGACCTGGATCCCTGAAACAGGGACTTGCCAAAGGGTGGCTCAGGTGCTGGCTGCCCACCCCAGCTGGCTGTGAGAGGAACTGGCCATTGCTGGGTGTGTACCAGTCTGCAGGGCAGCACGGCTCCTCCTGCTCTGCTCCTGGCCAGCACATGCCTGTGATCAATCCCTTCCAGCTGGACCCAACTGCTCTGGGCACTGAGAACAGGTCCTGCCTGGAGCACAGGGCCCTGGCATGCAGGGTGGTGAGAAAAATAGGGAAGAGCTGGCAGTGGCAGCCATGAATCACTGCTAACACAGCATCTTGCTCTTTGTGATCCTTGGATATGGAGCTTTCCAGAGAACCTCCAGGGCAGGTCCTCAGTGTGAAAACTCATTGTGGTTGCTCTGTGAAACCCTGCACAATCAGCTGTGTGATCTGGTATCTCACAGCTGTGCCTCATCCTGAGCCACTGGTTTTTCACCTTTGTGAGCAAACACACTGCCTTGCTCCAAGCACAGCCTGAGCTCTCCGTTGCTTTTCAGCTCAACTGGCTGTCAGCTATGTAGGGCATGGAAAACAGAGGGTGGGTGGGAACTGAGCCCTGGCCAAGGAAGGAGAAGGCTTGAGGTTGGTGTCAGAGCTGAAATCCCATGGCTGGGTGACCTTTGCCTCTCCAGGAAGGGAAGGGAGTGGGATGGAAGAGAACAACAAGGACTGGCATGTTCCTGTATGCAGGTGGATGTAACACAGCCAGGCTGTTTGGAAAGATCCAGGCTTAGTGGATGGCAGCTTGGATGTTGAAAGTCTTGGGAGCTGCCCAGCGTGGGGAGAGGAGACACGTAGCTCTGAAGGGCTGGGTGAGAAGCAGGGAGCAGAAGCCCCTCTGAGGGTGCTGCAGCAGCATGACCTCTCTGTCTGGCAGAGAAGAGACAAGAGGGACCTGGGTCTGGGTGGGTTTTGCTGAGAATGGGCAAATTCCAGAGCCAAGACTGCCTCTAGAGTCAGGGAAGATTGTCAGCACTGCTTTGAAAGATGGAGCTGTGCTCAGAGGAGAAATCAAAAAGGGAACTGGCGGATGAGTTTAGGAATAACCCATGAGAAGAATCAGAATGAACGGTAAATTCCTTGTTAAGCTCATCAGTCGATGCTCCTGTGTACAAGGAGAGTTTGGAGGGGCTGTGAAGCTGTAATTAACATTGTTGGCACCAGTGCTCAGCGAGAGGGGCCTGGAGAGGCTGCCCTGCCACAACCCCTCTGCAGATGCAAGGGTTTGAACCAAACCAAAGTGCTAGCAGGGGAGATGGCAGGACAGGCAGATGACATCCACCTTGGGGCAGAGCAGCTGAGCTGCTCGCTGTGCATTCATTTCTCCCTTCCAGCTGCCTCAAGCACAGCAAACAGGAGTGTGCCTGGGTACCCAGCCCGGGCTCAGGCTGGGCAAGGCAGCACAGATGCTGAGTGTGTGTGTAGGACCCTCTTGGGTGAAGGAGAAGCTGCTAAAGACAAAGATGGTGTGCCGTGGAGGCACAGCTCCAGATTTGGCCGTGTCTGTGTTTTTGTCTATCTCAGCAGAAGCTTTGGTCAGCTCAGCTGGGCTTAGTGGGAGCTGTGTCCTTTGGAAGCTCCATGAGTCACCGTGGCAGCACATGGCAGGTGCAGCAATATTTCACATCTTTGTCATCTGAGCACAAGGTGCCTCATTCTTGGTGGGCCAGCAAAGGCCAAACTGGCTGTGATGGTTTGGGTAAGTCACTTCCAAGCAGCAGTGTGTGAAGGCTGCCGGGATGCTGCTCTGTCCTGGCTGGCCTGTAGAGCCCTGGGACGTGGGAGCATGGCCTCCAGGTGCCAGGGGTTTATTGATGGCCACTAACACCCCTCAGAGCAGAGCAGAGCAGATCCTCACCCCACCTCCCCACACCCTGCCTGGGGGCTCAGGAGGGCTGCATCTCACCCCTTGGATTCCTTGGATACCTTTCAGCAGGTCCTGGCTTCCTTGGCTTTGGGCAGCCCTTGGGCTGACTCAGGCTTTTCCTGCTGAGCCCAGCTCATGGTGAGCATTCTTGTCTGGAGGGGAATGTGCTGTCCCTGGGTCTGGGCTCTGTGCACGGGGGCAGGCAGAGCGCTGTGGGAGGCACAGCTCAGGTGTGTGTGACAGCAGAAGTGCCAGGGACACAAGGGATGGAGGGCAGCTGTGGGCATGGAGGGCAGCTGTGGGGATGGAGGGCAGCTATGGGCATGGAGGGCAGCTGTGGGGATGGAGGCAGCTGTGGGGATGGAGGCAGCTGTGGGCATGGAGGGCAGCTGTGGGGATGGAGGGCAGCTATGGGCATGGAGGGCAGCTGTGGGCATGGAGGCAGCTGTGGGGATGGAGGGCAGCTATGGGCATGGAGGCAGCTGTGGGGATGGAGGGCAGCTGTGGGGATGGAGGGCAGCTGTGGGCATGGAGGGCAGCTGTGGGGATGGAGGGCAGCTGTGGGCATGGAGGCAGCTGTGGGCATGGAGGGCAGCTATGGGCTTGGAGGCAGCTGTGGGCATGGAGGCAGCTGTGGGGATGGAGGGCAGCTGTGGGCATGGAGGCAGCTGTGGGCATGGAGGCAGCTGTGGGGATGGAGGGCAGCTGTGGGCATGGAGGCAGCTGTGGGCATGGAGGGCAGCTGTGGGGATGGAGGGCAGCTATGGGCTTGGAGGCAGCTGTGGGCATGGAGGCAGCTGTGGGGTGTGGGCATGGAGGGCAGCTGTGGGCATGGAGGGCAACTGTGGGGATGGAGGGCAGCTATGGGGATGGAGGGCAGCTGTGGGCATGGAGGCAGCTGTGGGGTGTGGGGATGGAGGCAGCTGTGGGCATGGAGGCAGCTGTGGGGTGTGGGGATGGAGGCCAGCTGTGGGCATGGAGGCAGCTGTGGGGTGTGGGGATGGAGGCAGCTGTGGGGTGTGGGGATGGAGGCAGCTGTGGGCATGGCTCCTCCTCTGGGCCCCGGGCTCGCTGCCAGGCGGTGGCAGAGGGCAAGGCCAGTGAAGTTTGGGAGAGGAGCCCACTGCAGGCACGTTGCCTCATGTTTGGGCTGGGAGCACTGGAACAAGGTCAGGGAAGCTGGGATGGCAGGAGCAGTGGCAGCTTGGGCCTGGCTCTGGGCACAGGCAGGGGCTCACATCTGCAGGTGTTTCTTACAGCCCTTCTTACAGTGACTTGGCCTTTGGCAGCCCCTGGTCAAGGATGTCCCTCTGGGGCAGGGACAGACAAAGCGTTGCTAACCTTGGCTCCCTGCAGGGCCACAAGTTGCCAGCCATTCTCCTGCTCTCCTTTCATGCCCTGAGCTGTGAGCGTTCTCTATCCAGGGGTTTTATGTGC